TTAGCGGTATATTGAGAAAGTTTGTGTGTATCTGTATGGATGTGTATGACAGTAATTTGCACATAGATTACCTTTTTCCTGCCGCGCTTAGCGGGCGGGTCGCTGTCGCTGCCCGAGGGGCGGTCTCGGCGACGTCGCGACTTGCCCTTGCGGCTCTCACCGCCCTCACGCTTGCGACTCTTCTTCTGCTTAGCCTCGCGACTACAATAATACAACACTTACTATACCACAATCATGCATTATATTTAAACCTTCTGTAAATTAAACGTCTACCGATTTAAAGTGGGTTTCTGATACCAAAATGTGCGCCCATATATTTGTCGCAATCTTTGTATTAATATGATTGTAACTGACCGTTCTTCTCGTGGTGCGTCGCTGCCACTGGCGGGCGAGTCGGAGACGTACTCGTCGCGTCTCCGTCCGCGCGCTCTCGCCTTGCCCTCCGCCGGCATGTCGGCGAACACCAGCGCGTTCTTCGTCTTCTCCTTGAACTCCTGTCGCTTCTGCAGCATCTCCACAGTGCTCTTCGCCTGCTCCTCCTCGCGACGCTTACGTTCCTCTTCCTACAAAATTAAGGAGTAACCAAGGGTTTTCCAGCATCTTAAATAAGCAACTTGGTAATGAATCAAGCAAATTACATCGCTTTTTTAAGCTAATAACATAAAACTTGATTTTATGCATTGATTTTGTGATTCATTTCGGTTTTGTAATAATCAGTGTTTATCGGTCATATAATGAGAGTGCAATTCAAACAATTTTAACACATTAAATGCTACCGACTCGTATTAAGTCCACTATGAAAAGGTAGTGGCATGAAATGTATTAATATAGTAACAAATGCGCATAGTATATGCGACGAAAAGAGTTACAAATATCATAATTCCTTATAAGAAAATGGAATACAACCTGTTGCCTGCGGAAGGCCTCGCGCTGCTCTCGCTGCCTGTCTCTCAGCGTGAGCTCCTCATCGTGCTGCCTGCGTGCGCGCGCCACGTGCCACTGCGCCTGCGACAGCAGATCTGCGCACTGCCGGGCCTCCGCGGCCGCCGCGCTCGCCTCGAACCGAGTGCGCTCCTGACCCTCGCCGCTCACTGA